GGGTTTCCTGCCTAGGCAGGGGGTTGGACTAGAAGACCTCCAAGGTCCCTTCCAACTCTGCTATTGTATTGTATTGTATTGTATTGTTCTATCTATATGGTAGTATCTGCATTTCAGCATCACAGGTAGTCCTCAATTTATGACAATTATTGGGACCAAAACTTCCATCACTAAGAAAAATGGTTAAATGAGTCACATCCAATTTTACCACATCTTGCTGCAATTATTAAGGGAATCATGGTGTGATGATCCAGGGCAGGGCACAGAGATAACAACTGGGCAACTGGCAATTCAAACCACCACTTTATTGCTCCAAATTTCCCCAAATGCTCCCACATTTCTGGCAAGTCCAGAGCAAAGAGATGACATCTCAAGCAGCCTCTGGCTGCAAATAGTCCAGCCCTCACTGTTTACACTACGGCTGCACAGCAATAAATCCATCAGGGCAAATAAAAGAATTCAGGAAGCAAAGGATCAAGGTAATTGGTTCAGAAAGCCAGAAAGAATGCAAGGAATCCAGGAAAGTTCCAGCATAGGCACTCAACACTTCATGAATTCAGCGTTTGTTCCCAACAAATGCCCCTCCCCACATCATCTCCTTAAGGAGGGCCGGGGCGCTCTTCTCCCAAGTAGCCTGCTCAGTCTGTGCTGTTCTCACCTTCTCTCCACTCTCCATGCTCTCGGTTCAGGAGGTGGTGGTCCTTGCTCATTACCTGAGCCCCTCATGTTCACTGCTTAGCTTCTCTTGGTCATCCTGCCTCCGTTCCTCCCTGCGTACAAGCTGTCCTAATTCTGAAAGACCCTGCCTGACTGGCTCTGTCCTTCCCCATTTTCCTCTGAAGCCAATGAAGCCACCCCCTCAAACTCTGTATGTTCCAGTTCCAGTTCATCTTCCCCACAGAGTCATGCTCCAAGTGGCATGACTTATGGTCATTAAGTGAATCTGGCTTCCCCCTTTGACTTTGCTTGCCAGAAACCTGCTGGGAAGATCAGAAATAGTGATCACATGAGCCTAGGATTCTGCATCCATCATAAACGCATACCAGTTGCCAAGTACCTGAATTTTGATCACATGACCATGGGCGCGCTGTGACAATTGTAAGTACGAGGACTGGCCATAAGTCACATTTTAATGCCATTTAATTTCAAAAGGTCAGTAAAAGTATGGTTGTAAATCAAGTACTACCTGTGTATTCTAAGTAATATCAATATTTCTTGTGATCTCTGAAAAATAATATCAATTAAAATATGCTGTATTTCTTTTGATTTCTAACAATTAAAAAGGATGTTTACAAAAAGGCTTAATGGACCCTCAACACAGATCTCACTGGAAATAAATTCATGGTACTTTTTAAAACTGCCATGTGCATATTACATCATCACAATACAGCTACAATAAAACAGCCAACTTTAAATTCCAGACAGGTGAATGGGTTACTTTTGAAATTCATTGTACATATTTTGAATGCCATTGATCAATTGATTTATGTTTAGAATTAAATCGCATTCATGTGACCTGTATTTTTACAATATTCTCTTGTATTCCTTTAAATGTAAAACAAGTTTTACAATATTTACAATATTTTGTTTTCGTATCATATGTAATAGTTTAATCTTTCTAGACTGCACACAGCTTTTTATTTCAGCAATATAGTTTAATTGTTGGTCATTTTCATCCTAATTTTAAATTGCAATATTTTATTTTATTGTCCTTTAGAAAGTTACTTGCTGGTTTTCTTCAATTTGTTTCCTTTTGTGTCCTCTTTGTTGTCTTCTATGTCAGTGTTTTTCAAGCACTGTGCCGCGGCACACTAGTGTGCCGTGACATAGTGTAAGGTGTGCCGTGGGAAAAACAC